CCTCTTCTCCCTCTCTGCCTACGGTTTACCGGGCAGTTCTATTTGACGATATATATATATATATATATATATATATAGAGAGAGAGAGAGAGAGAGAGAGAGAGAGAGAGAGAGAGAGAGAGAGAGAGAGAGAGAGAGTTCTTCTGTTCAAAGTTCTTAGCAGAGTCTTGGACCGCAGTCTGCTGCGACTGAATATGTCGCAACGTTGTCTCCAGTACTTTGTAGCAGCAGTTTGATCTTACGTCAGGCCCCCTCCGCCCACCTCCTTGTCTCCCCGAACTCCTTTTTTTTCTGGTCCTTTTCTTCTCTCTTTCTTCTAACACGATGAGGAAAGCAAGATGCCAGGTGGTCATTGGCAAGGATATACTGTGAAGTACGGAACTGTGACTTGTACGGATTGTTCTCCGAACATTAAAACGTACAAATCGAGAATAAAACTTACAAATCAAGAAGTAAATTCGTTAGAAAACCACAGAAAAACCCCAAAGAAAACAAGTTGTTGTCTAATACCTGCTGCTGCACCATGGAGTGTTTCTTTGACCAGGTTCAGAGCATTTCAACAAAATAGTCTGCCTTGTACTACACGAAGTACTGCCCCCCAATCGTAATCGAGGGTTTGATGGTGGCCCGGAGCAAAGGCCCTGACAGACCTTGGTCCAGGGCCAATGCTGGTCCAATTGGGGGTCCCGTTACTGGTCCATCTGCTGTTCTAATTATTGCTGGCCCAATTGGTGGTCCCATTACTGGTCCAATGGATTTGCTGGTGGAATTGGTGGTCCAAGTGCTGGTAGATGAGCTGGTCCAATTGTCGGTCCAATTGCTTTGGTGGTCCAATTGCTGGTGCAATTGCTGGTCCAAGTGCTTTGCTGGGCCAATTGCTGATATGCCTGTGCTAATTGGGTACAGAGTTCCACCAAAAAAAAAAAAAAAAAAAACCTGGTTGCAAAACTGGCAAGATATATGTGATGAGAACATGTGCAAAGAAAAAGAAAGAAAACATTAAAGGTTTTTAAAGTAGTACTGAAGTAGCACTTTTTTTTTTTTTTTTTTTTTTTTTTTTGGTGTAAACTTTAAAGGGACGGCATTTATTGGTATCGAAGATGGCGCCTAAGTGAGAGAGTAGAGTGTCAAAAAAAAAAAGAAAAAAAAAAGGGTTTAGGGTTTTGAACTTTTGATGGGATGGGGGAGATCTGATCGAATGCTTGGTTATCGGCGATTTGGCCGATTTGGCCAGCTAGCCCACCAAGTACAAGGCCTCACTACTAGTAGTGCCTTGTTTATGCTCAGAAAAACACGATCCTGGTCTTAAAAAGGACCAGATTCCTGTTTTCATAGCATGAACATCGCATCAGTGGGTCCGGCCTAGCCTTAACTCAGCATGTCCGAGGAAATGGTGTAATAACTAACCTTCTTCCCGAATGTACAGTCATTATCGCGGTATCTAGACTCAATGTTGCCCCAAGTACAGCTATAATGACCATACATTGTGTTCGGGGGAAGACGGGACTAAGAAAGTAAATTCTCCAAAAGTGTGGGCTACTAAGGGTTTAGGTGCTTGATGCTATGAACGGGTTTAAACATGGGTTGCAAAACTCCCCTCCTCCTGGCCCTCCTTCCCCCCCCTCCCCTCCCCCCTTGAGGTGGCGATTTGCTATTTGTTTTCTCCACCCTCCCTGGCCTGGCCCCCCTTTTTGCATCCATAGCCGGCCTTATCCGG